TGTCCATTTGACCCTAAGACTCATATTTCTTGCACCAAGCAGACATAGGATAGGTTGAAAATAGCATCAGAATTTAAGAACCTCATATCCATGTTTGTCACATCCAATTCATTTGATGGGAGATTTGGGGGTTAAGATATGTAGTTGTGATAGAGGTCCTTTGGATTTTTCATTTTTTTTAAACCACTCAAGTCTTGCGGAGGCACCACTCATTGCATCCAATCTTGACCATGAACCAAATTCACAAAAATTGAAGGTCGTAGACATTGGGCATTTTGCCAGTTTGTTACTACTGTTATTATAATGTAGATTGTTTAAATATTTTTTGGAAAAAAGATCCAATTCAATATTCCCTTAAAGATTTTCATCTGAAGTTTTTCTGTGTGCTTCAGTCGTCTCAACAAGGGAGAATAAGACTTCTTACCATTGCATTTCTATTCTAACAAAGCCTTTTCCATTTTCCTGAACAGGCATCAGATTCCTAGTATTTGGAAACCATTACTTTGTATTTAGATTAAAGTTTACTTTTTGGTTATAGAATATTGTCCTCCTATTAAAACCTAACCCTAGGCCGGGTGCGGTGGCTCACGCCTGTAATCCTAGCACTCTGGGAGGCCGAGGCGGGCGGATTGTTTGAGCTCAGGAGTTCGAAACCAGCCTGAGCAAGAGCGAGACCCCGTCTCTACTAAAAATAGAAAGAAATTAATTGGACAACTAAAAATATATAGAAAAAATTACCCGGGCATGGTGGCACATGCCTGTAGTCCTAGCTACCGGGGAGGCTGAGGCAGGAGGATCGCTTGAGCCCAGGAGTTTGAGGTTGCTGTGAGCTAGGCTAACGCCACGGCACTCACTCTAGCCCAGGCAACAGAGTGAGACTGTGTCTCAAAAAAAAAAAAACCTAACCCTAGATCCATAAATATAAGACTCTGAACACACAGGGACCATGCTGGTTATGTAAATCAAGTATGACATTAGACTTTTCTGGCAAAGCAGACTGCACGGGACAGTCACACACTGGCTGGGAAAGGCTATGTAGTATCCAAATATTCCATTTTATTCCAGTTCAGTTGTTGACATGGCCAGCATTAATATTTTAGGATACTTGTTTATGGAGGCTTTCCTTGTGTTTTGAATAGTATCTGTATATAAGGAGTCACATTATGAAGATTTAAAGGGAAAAATAATAGCTACCCTTTTTTGAATTTCTACCATGTGCCTGGCACCTTACTAGATGCTTTGCGTACTTTATTGTGAGTCCTTCCATACATCCCTGCAGGATGGCTGTTTCCTCAGTTTGCAGATAAGGATACTAAATCTCAGAGAGGTAAATTAATTTGCTTAGTATCATCTAGCTAGTAAAAGTAGGTGCTGGTAAACCTACCTAGCACTGGCTGACTTCAAGGCCCTTGCTCTTTGCTATATCATATTGTCCATTACAGCGATACTGTAAGATGATAGGACTAGTTGCCTCATATGTTTAGGAAGAACTTTTTGACGCTAAATTAGTACTATTCTAGAGCATTTCATTTACCCTGGCCGCTACTACCTGTCTGCCACTGCTGTCTTAATATTCTTCATGACCTCTTCTTTGCAAACCAAGAAAAAAAATGAATCTGGACCTTCTTTCTCACCTTTGTTTTCAAATGCTTTTTTTTAGGCATCTCTCAAGTATCATGGCACTAGCTATCTTGTCATACTTGTATTTTATAATTAGAGATTATTTTTTTTCATGTCCAGCTGGATGTGTAGTTGAAGACAGGTGTGCTGGGTATGAGCATGATCTATCTAGATCAGCACTGTCTGATAGAACTTTCTGTAGTGATGGAAATGTTTTATATCTGTGCTGTCCAATATGATAGCCATATGGGGCTATTAAGTTCCTGAAATGTGGCTAGGGCAACTGAAGACTGAATTTTCTGTTTTATTTAATTTTCATTAATTGAAATCAAAATAGCCACATGTGGCTAGGGGCTACTGTATTGGACAGCATAGTTTGAAAGTAGTAACTGATGTTTGTGTTTGATGAATAATGATAGAATTTGAGGAAACCTAATCATTGGTAGTTGAAAGATTGCTAATGTGTTTTCCAGCATCATTAAATCTGGCATGTGTTCAACTTAAAACCATATTATCATGGGACCAAATAGAATATTTCATGTTTCCAAAGTACTTTTTGATCATTCATGATCTCATTTGATGAATCTTTCAGATATGATATCATTTAAGTCTCGTGTTTGCTAATGGATCACAGAGGAAGGGCAGAAGAACAAAACCATTTACAGCTTCCTAGTGCAGGGTCTCCTCCTGTGGAAATGGACACCAGTATGGCCTATTGGTACTCAGGTTGCAGCATGAGGGCCTGGACAGGAACCCATGTACTGTTTTTCTCTGCTTATTTATTGAGATTGGAGAATTATCTCTTCCCCCTCACTTAAAACATCCATTCATTTTATTTTTTTAGGTCTCAAGGGAAGGAAGTAGAGGCAATTTCTACATTTAGCCGCAGAGCTACAATAATTTGATAACCAACAAAAGAAAATGTAGTTTTCCTTTCCAATATACTAAAATAAGTCCTTGGGGCTTTAATTTTAATTCTTTGTTTTAGAAAAGACAACCCAGAACTCAAAAGTTTTGTGTGTAACACTAGTCTTTAAATTGGTATATATCTTCCAAAGAAAATTGTGATGAAATTAAATAATAGATTTTGTATGATATTTTGGAGGAAAATTAATGTCCCTGGAGTTTCGATATATTTTATTTTTATTTTCTGGTCTTATGAAATAATTTTTAAAAGATATTCATTTACTTATGTGTCACTTGTGTTACTAAGTGTATTTTTTCTCTGACATTTTATTTGCAAAGTACTCTTCTCCTTTCTACCAGAGTGTATAACTAATCAACTCTAGATGCTTTTGATATTTCTGACTGTGCCAGGGGCATTGAATGAAGTTCCCTGTAGTGCGAAAAGAGAGCACATGGGACTCATGACTTTATGTACTTCAACAATAGAGCTTTTATGACATTGGAGGTGGTTAAAAAAGCTAGAAGTAGCTCTTAAAGATGGCATCTCTCTGTTGCCATTTTTTTTTTTTTTTGTATTCTCAAGCTGCTAGGAGTGCATCGAGCCTGTAATTTCCTGTTCTCTGAATCCCCCATCTTTCTGCAGCTTCAAGCTTTGTGTCCCACAGCCTGTGACTCTGTGCTAACAAATCGCTATTGTCCAGTGGGGCGAATGGTGGCTGGAACTAAAGAATTGCTGTCTGGTTTCTATTCAAATCCAGGTAGTGAGATATATGAATGGACTTTTCGAATCGTCATGTGAATAACGTCTGCTCGGCATGAAGGCTCAGAGCCACGCTAGGAAGGATTAACTCCTGGGCTGACCACTAACATCCTTTGTGGCAGGAGGTAGAAATGTTCCCAAGTTATCATTTTATTCACACACAATTTTCCATTTCATACCTCAAAAGTAGGGCTAGCTATTTAATTATTTGGCTATTTTTCTCTCAAGTTTTAGTGTTTCTGTTGATAATATGTAACTTTGGGGAAATGCTAAGTAGTTTTTCACTGAGAACACTGTTATTTTCTCCTGAAAGTTTCCTACCTTACATTTATTAGAGCGCAAAGTTATCTTTATGGCATGGATGCAGAAAGTAAGAGAGCTGCTTTTTCGAGGAAACCAACCCTTTAAAATACTTTCAACCAATGAAGGGAAAAATCGTCTTTTTTTTCTTTGTGCATTCTACTTACTACTTTGCATTTTTTATCCCAAAGTCCAAGTTTATATAAAGAAAATAGAAACAACTTCTAATGTAGTATATTAACCAACAAAACAAGTCTCCTTCAAATTAGGAACCAACCTAAGCATTTGTAAGTATAGCAGAATCAAAATTTTAAAAATAAATCAGATTTGAAACCTGAACCATAATTCATAATTCTCATTTATCTAGGTAAAATTATTTTATCTTTCTCCTATATACCTGAAAAAAATGTCCATAGGCTTGAAGGGCCATGCTGTTACATTCCTTCCATATCACAGGTACTATGAAATGGGGAGCCTTTTATGTTTCTTTTTGTCTTAAACTCAGACAGCTTTGTAAGCAGTAGTGTGTAGATTACAAGAGTTAGACAAAAGCAGGCGCGACTGAGAAGAGTTGGTGGGGGGGAAGCTTGGGGCACTTCCTGTCACTCAACACATTCCAGATCACTAAAAAATTTCCACACCCTCTGCATTCCCTCTCGACCACTCCATTTCCTAGTGTTTTCTGATTCTATATGTTGTGGTATTTATACTCCTCTCTCTCACTGGGCTCTGGCAAGACTGCTTCAGAGAGGATGCATTCCTTTAGATTGCACAAAGCAGAGCTGGGAAAATGGCTGGCAGTTTCAGAATCTAGTCACGATCGCACGCATGAGCACCTCACACATCCATGCCCCTTCCCTCCCACCCCTCCTTGCCCCTGCAGCTGGCTGACCTGTCTCACCCACTGCTGGCCTATCGAACGGCCAGGACTGTCTGGTTTTGGTTCATGCCTTTGTCCATGTCTGGCTTAGTTCCTCTCTGTCTATGCTTGCCTCTACCCCCACCGCCCCAGGCAGCACAAGTGTTTGGCCACACAAAACTACAGATAGAAAAGGTGGTAAAAACTTCAAACTTTGCTAGATTCTCCAACAGTTTATTCTTTTGTGGATTTCTTCCTTCTTTAAATACTTCATTTTAAGAAAACAAATACAGAATTATCTAACGGCAAAGAATGCAAAACAACCTTTGTGTTCCTTATAATAAGTGACTTCATAACTCTCTCCAGCTGCGTTATGGGGTGTGTATAAAAAGCTTCTGTTCTGAGAACAAAGGAGCACGTGCAGAAATAAGACTAAAAAATCCACTGACAGTATTCCACTACACCAATTACTTAAAAGATTTTAGTCAAGCCTCTCAACAGATTCAATTTTAAAATGGTTTTTAGTTAAAAAAAAAAAAAATTGAAAGTGCTTACCCAGTAAAAGAACCGAAGTAGTCCTGAACTGTTACGTAAGACTTTTTACAGTTGGATCTTTGTCAAAAGGGGATGGGGGTGATGGGAGAAAGCAGCAACAACAATCAAAAAAGTTCGAGCTGCTGTGGCTAGAGGACAACTTCTGTGTTTCCAGATAGGATTCTTGCTGTAGAAATGGAACTTCCAGCCAGCACAGCATCCTGTCCCGGTAGAGAAATGAGTTTGTCAGTTAAAAAAAAAAATTAGATGCTGGAACCCAGGCTAGACGAGGTATTGAACCGCGCCAGATTTCCTTGCAGCCCTGTCTGCTTCGCTCGCATTGAACTATATATGACCCAGATGATGGACAGAAGCACATTCAGTCATGTGCACACTGGAAGAAAGCGGATTTGCTGGTCCCTGGCAGTGCAGGGGTTTGTCTTCTGATTGGGCTGTGCCCTGATCAGTGAAATGTGAAGCCCTCATTCAGAGGCCGTAATTCAGGACTGGCAGTTTGAGTGTCTGGCTGCCTGTAGTCACTGAGAGACTTTGAAGGTGTTGCTTTTGTTTGGTGGCATTACCCACCCAGAGGTTGCTTACACCTCTGTCCTTGTGACAGGAGAAATGCTAGTCTTTCTGAAATGCAAACAGGCAGCCGACTTTGGCTGAATCCTAAGTCAGCCTATTGTTGATGAACTTGACTCTAACTTAAACCAGTTATTTGATTTGAGAATTTATTGTGATCCTATCCAAGCTTCATATACAGACCACCTCCTGGTCCTGATTTTATGGATTTGATAAGGTAAAAATAAAAGTGGCATCTGACTTTGAAGCTTCTAGATGATATAAATTGCTGGTAATGAAAATTGGATGGATAGACAGCAAAGAAGTTAAGTTTTGGATTCTGGAGTCTTTGAACATACTAGGAAGAAGCTTTATCTCTTATTATCCCCTTTATGAGGCTGTCACTCTTATTGCAGTCCTTAGTCACATAAGGGACTGCTGAGGAGGGGGGAGAAGCTACGAAAGCATAGACCCCACTGAGCTGTGACATAGCCTTTAATCATGCAAGACAGCTATGGTCTGCTCTCTTCAGTCTGTCTGAACCTAGGATCTGTGGGGTTTATTTCCCATCTTTCTGGGCCACTGGGAAACCAGGTCATTTTATAGGACAAAAATGTCAGTTGTGACATTTTTGTTTAGTACGTGGTAGTTGCTTTGTTCGTTTAATGCAGGTAGACATTTTTGTAAAATTTGAAGCAATTAAATTGCATTATGAAGCCTTGGCTCTGAAATATGAAATCTATTCTCCATGGACCAATCACTTTTTTCCATGGACTTTCTTATCTTTTTAGAAATTAGCTTACATAATACTAAATTGGTATTTATACATACAAATAGTTTAGTTTATTTTCTGCCTCTTTCACATTTGTTGAAATAGTTCCATGGTCAATGTATAGCATCTGTCTATTTTGCTGTAAATTTTGGATTTGAGTGTTTTTACTAGTAATTTCTTTAAAGTGTTGAGTATATTATACAGCATCCTCTATATAAGGACTGCTCCAGAATTATTCTTCTTTCTTAACCTGGGAAAAGCTGGGTTGATATACTTGATATACTATCAGACATAAGGATGTCCATAGTCTCAGAAGAGATGAGCCCTCTCTTTCTTTCTGTAAATCACAGAACAATCATTCCTCTTTTTTTTAGGTTGTAAAATATATATAACATAAAATATACCATTTGTAAGCGCATAGTTCTGTAGCATTAAATACATTCACATTGTTGTGCAACCATCACCACCATCCATCTACAGAACTCTACTGTTCTTGCAAAACTGAATCGCTGCCCCCATTAAACACAAA